ATTAAAAGATTATAGAATTTTTCCACGAACCTTTTGACTCTCCCTCATATTGTGCCTGTTTAAATGGCTAAACATCATTTTGAAACTAGTTTCTCCCATTTCATGTAGCAGCAAGATAGATTCATCTTATTCAAGAAAAAAAAAATAGGTAAAACACACGTTTTATATCAAGTTCAATAAGCACAAGAGGGTATATTATATATGAAAGTTAAATCTCTCTCCACCCATGTTCCCAGCCACCCACTGGCAACTGCTGTCACCAATTACTTGGCTAGCCTTAGGTATAGCTTCCCATTGAATGTTGTTGTGTGCCGTCGAATAAGTTCCGACTCATGTTGTTGTTGTTGGGTGCCATCTAGTGGTAACGACTCTTAGCGACCCTTGTACAGCAGAACGAAACACTGCCCCGTTGGTCCTGGGCCAACCTCTCATTCGTTGCTATGCCTGAGCTCATCGCCTCTGCTACTATGCCAATCCATCTCGTTGGGGGTCTTCCTCTTTTTCTCTGACCCTCCACCTTACCAAACATGATATACCTCTCCAGTGACTAGTCCCTCCTGACATGTTAGGAGTATGACAGACAAAGTCTGTCCATCCTGGCTTCCAAGGAGCACTCTGGCTTCCAAGGAGCACTCTGGCTGGTTATGTGCAGTGGAGTCAGTTCCGACTCATAGCGACCCTGTACAGGGTTTCCGAGGCTGTAAATATTTACGGGTGTAGAAAGCCTCATCTTTCTCCCTCAGAACAGCTGGTAGTTTCAAACGGCTGACTTTAAGGTTGGCAGCCCATTTCGTAACCAGAGCTACCAGAGCTCCTTTCTTCCAACTCATAGCGACCCTATATTGCATTTGTTGTTTATTAAGTGCCGTTCAGTTGGTTCTGACTCACAGCCATCCTGCCTAAGGTTTCCGAGGAGTTGTGTTTGTACCGCCGACCTTGCGGTCCAGCGCGTATCCTACAGTGCCACACCAGGAGTCTTCAATTGCTCAGGGTTTCCGGGAAACTAGCAAAAACCACCATCTGTCTCCTCTTGAGCGGCTGGTGGATTCGAATTGCTAATCTTGCGATTAGCAGCCCTCTGCGCAATCCACTCAGCCACTGGGACTTTAGTACTCTTCCAACGAGCTGTGAATTCAAGGGCAGGAAGAAGTCTTCATCTTTCTGTCCTTATAGCCTAGTACATTGCCTGCTCCGAGGTACGCACTCACTAAGTTTGAGTATAATTCTGAAATCAAGTGCAGAAGAGGGAGCCTGGACCAAGGGACAAAAAACACGCCCTTTTGGGCTGTTCAGGTCTCCCAGGTCCCGGAACTTTCTTTGAAAGGATTGTTGTTTCTCGGGAAGGACTTTTGATCGCAAAGCGTGCCCTGCACAAATATGGCTGCCACGACCCGGAAGTGACAGTTTACAGTATTTTGGTGAAGTTAGTTCTTCCGCGGGGCGGAAAAGGCATGTCTGCTTGTGTCCCGAACCTCTCCAGTCTCCTTTCCTTGCAGGATCCCATGAGTAAGCTGTGGCGGCGCGGGAGTACCTCCGGGGCTATGGAGGCCCCTGAGCCTGGTAAGTGTGGGGAAACCAAGCAACATAGGGCTGCTATGCAGAAAGGAGGCCCCTTTCTTGGTACTCTGGGTTTACCGGGTTCTCTGCCACAGGTGGGAAAGAGAAAGGGTGTTGTTGTTATGGTAACAGCGCGTACCGATGGGTGAGTGGTACCTCTCATGCGTATAGATTCTTCTGGGCCTCCCCGCTCTGCACCCCCAGATCGAAATGTTAGTGACAAGCCCACCTTCTTGCAGGGGAAGCGCTGGAGGAGTTGAGTCTGGCAAGTGCCCACAGTCACGGAGTGCACAAGAAGAAACACAAGAAGCACAAGAAAAAACACAAGAAGAAACACCATCAGGAAGAGGAGACTGGGCCAACACAGCCGTCTCCTGCCAAGCCCCAGCTCAAACTCAAAATCAAGCTGGGCGGACAGGTCCTAGGCACCAAGAGGTGAGTGAGATCAAGAGGAATTTCAGGAGCAGGCAGAGATGGGAACGGCTGACTGGACATCTGAGAGATAGAGAAGGAACACTTTGACCCCCCAGGACCCAGGTTAAGGGAGCAGGAACTGGGGGGAAGGGAAGGCTTTATGTAGCCACCAGGCACAGGGACATTCTGAGGAGACACTTCCTCCGCTTACCCAGTGGTGGTGTTTATTTACAGTGTTCCTACCTTCACTGTGATCCCTGAGGGACCTCGCTCACCTTCTCCCCTAATGGTTGTGGATAATGAAGAGGAACCCATGGAAGGAGTCCCCCTTGAGCAGTACCGTGCCTGGCTGGGTGAGAAAGGATCTGGAGGTGGGGATACTGAGTTCCTCATTGTACAGGACTGGTTAAGGGAGGGACTTGGTTCTGACAGGGTGAGTTCTCCAGTATTAACTTAGCTAAATGAGGGTGACACATTTGAACAATTGCACTATTTCTCTCTCCAATTTTCCTTTCCAGATGAAGACAGTAATTTGTCCCCCTCCCCACTTCGGGACCTGGCGAGCAACTTAGGGGGTCAGGAGGAAGAGGAGGAAGAGAGGTGGCTGGATGCCCTGGAGAAAGGGGAGTTAGATGACAATGGAGACCTCAAGAAAGAGATCAATGAGCGCCTGCTTACAGCTCGACAAGTAAGTTGGTGTTTCTTTAGTCATTTCCTAAATGTATATTTTGAGGTTACCATGTCCCACGTGCTACCTTGTCGTATCTTTTCTGTATCATCGATATCCTTAGGCAGTGTGGATATCAATGATAGAGAAAAAGATAAGACAAGGTTTCTGATTCCATCGAGCTGGTATTCTGGGGGTTGTTGTTGCAATTCCAAGCCATGGCAGAGTCAAGTCCAAGTCCATGTGTGCAGAGTGAAACTGCTCCATAGGGTTTTCAAGCCTGTAACCTTTCAGAAGCATATCTCCAGGCTTTGTCTTATGTGGTGCTCCTGGACGGGTTCCAACCAACCGCCAGTTTTTTCAGTCTTTTCAGTCCAGCAATTAACCATTTGCACTACCCAGGGACTCCCTTGTTGGGGTAGGGAGGGTAAATAAGTAAATACATAATTTCAAAAAGCTATAAGTCTATCGTAAAAAGAAAATAGGGTGATAAAATAGAAAGTGGCAGAAAAGAGATATACATTAGATATGGTGGCCAAAGAAGGCCTTTCTGAATAGATAATGTTGAGAGTACCAGATGAGTTCAGGCAGAGAGACCAGCAGGCACAAAATACCCCGAGACTGGAACAGTCCTAAGTAGGAAGCAAAGAAGTGGCATAATTTGATTGCGATTTGAATAGATTACTTTTGCGTCTCTGGAGAATAAATCTTGGAAGTTAGAGATTGAAGCTGGGAGACAAGGTAGGAGGCTGTGGAAGTAGTCAGGTGAGAGCTGCTGGTGACTTCAGCCAAGATGGAAATAGTAGAGATGGATCAGATTAGATGGATTCTGATTGTATTTTGGAAGAAGACACTTGTTTGGGGTGAGAGGAGGAAATGAAAAGAGGAGTCAAGGATAACCCTGAGTGTTTGATGTCATCTACTGAGATTAAAAAAAAAAGCTGGTTTCTACAAAAATAGCTTGTAGAGGTTGGGAAAAATCCAAGAGTTTGGGTGGCAGGGTAACACCACTGTTGCTTGTCTCCTTGAGAGTCAGAGAACTAAAGTTGAATGTCAGGAGATCTGGGCAGAGGCAGTATTAAGGGCTACCTGGAGAGAGTGGTCTTTATACCCCTTTTTCTAAGACATGGGCACCTCCAGGCTCTGTCTTCAATGACCCTCTGTTGCCAAACCAAAACTAGGGTTTGCCACCTGTCACTGTAGTCAATCACAAAGATGGGGGAAAATCCAATCCAAGCTTTATTAACAGAAAGCCAGCAGTCTGGAGGATGGGGAGGATGATCCTCAAGACTGTCCTCCTGACTCACAAAAACAAGCACATTATCTAGGGCAGTGTACATCAGCTAAGCATTTGATCTGTTTTTTTGTGTGTTCCACAGTGAGGTGAGTAATAACAGAACCTTTTCTCTTTATCTTAAATTACATGGAGAGAGAGAACAGCTTAGGACTCTAGACTCATGGAAAGCGAAAAGCTGTATGCTGGCAGCCAGGAGGCAGGCTTATAGAATGTGCCTTTTGGTGGTTTAAATGAGTATATATTCCTGAGTGTTTCTGTGTATATCCAAAAAACAATAACAACAGAGGGAATAGAAACAACTACTGTTGAATGATGATGCAGGAGGGGATTGTAATCATTGCAATGAAATGAAATACAATAGGATGAGTGTAAGACCGATGCTGTCCCACGTAAACTATTACTCAATTCACATAAAAAACTTAATTAAAAAAAAAATTAATTCCCAGGGTCTTTATGACCAGTGACTCAGTTATTTCCAGTGGCATTCAGTTTAATTTAAAGACTTAGGCACATCTTGTTTTCTTTCCAGAGGCCATAAAACTAAAACTCAAGACAGTTTTTCTGAGGGGAGATAGGAGAGTTTTCAGGGTATTACCTGCAAGGCAGAAACTAGAATTCTTAAACGCATAGTTCCATGCTTTCATGAGGTTTTCGGCTCCCGTAAAGATTTACAGCCTCGGAAACCCTGTATTGGGTCGCTCTGAGTCGGAATCAACTCCAGGGCACATACAACAATTTCTACTCCAAATTTGCTCCCCCTTGCGGCAGACGCCCCGGTCTTCTCCATTTTCTGACACTACCCCGTCTGTCTCCCAACAGCGAGCATTGCTCCAGAAAGCACGGAGTCAGCCTTCCCCGATGCTGCCGCTCCCGATGGCTGGGGGCTGCCCGGCCCCCGTGCTCACCGAAGAGATGCTGCTGAAGCGGGAGGAGCGGGCACGGAAGCGGAGGCTGCAGGCTGCACGTCGGGCAGAGGAACACAAGAACCAGACGATAGAGCGCCTCACCAAGACCGCTGCGCCCAGTGGGCGGGGAGGCCGGGGAACTGCGAGGGGCGAGCGGCGAGGGGGACGGGCCGCAACCCCGGCCCCCATGGTGCGCTACAGCAGTGGAACGCAGGGCGCCACCATGTCCTTCCCACCTGGCTTCCCCGCCCCCGCCCCAGTGTCCCAGCGGCCATCCCCATCAGGCCCGCCTCCACGATGCTCTGTCCCTGGCTGCCCCCATCCGCGCCGCTACTCCTGTTCCCGTACCGGCCAGGCTCTCTGCAGCCTGCAGTGCTACCGCATCAACCTGCAGATACGGCTGGTGGGGCCCGATGGTCCGGGATCTCCCCTTTTGGCTACTTGAGGCAAGGACCTAACATAGACTCTGTGCCCTTTCTTCTGGTTTAAATGTCTTCCTCTTTCCCCCATCCTATTAAATGCCCTATTCCCCCACTCTATTAAAAACGGTGCCTCGGCGTGTTCAGAATTGGGGTAATGAGATTTGAGCAGACCTGGCTTCCATACACACACCATGCCCCTCCCGTAGCTTGTGCAGACACACCTGTGTCCTGCAACAGCCGCAGTAAGACCTGTGGGTCAGTACTTGGCCTCAGCCAGACCTTTGGGTCCCCGCGTCTTCCAGTGGGGATTACCTGGCTTGATCCGGCATTTGGCATCATCGGGTAAATAGGGTTCAAGCCAATCAGCGGAAACTTGGATCTTCTAGTCTGCCGTTCATTGGATGATAGAGCAGTGGCATGCTCTGTGGTCAGCCATTGGTTATTGTTGCTGTCAATCAGACTGTGGTTGGAATCTTCCCCCACTCTTTGTCTGTGCAAGCTCTTGTTGTCTGGGAGAATGGCGGAGGCGCTCTTCAAGATTGGTCACTAAGCGAAACCCCTGATCTGTTTCTATTGGTCTGTCCGTTGAAGGGCGATGTTGATTGGTAGGGCCGAGGAACCTGGGTCTTAGTTGGCAGAGCTCTCCCCGGATGGAAGCTCCGGCTGCGGAGTGATGGTGGCGGCAGCAAAAATGGGCCGGGCAGGGGCCATGGTGGTGGTGGTAGAGGTGGCAGGGGCGGGGTGGCTGGTGGTAGAGGAGGCTCTGGTCTTCAGGGGGCTGTAAGTGGAGGAATGTCTCGGGCCAGCAGCGCGAACGGCAGCGAGGAGGCCTGGGGGGCACTTCGGTCGCCGCAACAGCAGGTATCCCAACAGCTCCAACCATTTCTTTTCCCTCGCCTTGTCCCTTCCTTTTGGAGGGTGGGGGAGGAACTCATGAGGCAAAGATATTAAAGAGTTCCTAAACATGTCCCTTCCACTCTGTCTAAACTTTATAACGTAGATGCAGTTGACTGGCTGCACCTCATAGACCCCATCCTATGGCTGCAGTGGAAGTTTGCAGTGGGTATCCAGTGACCGGAGGCATAGGGAGGCCCCCAGTGCCTTGCAACGGTTATTTGTGATGTTTTTCTATATGCCTATTGTCACAACAGAGTCCGACAGCGTCTTCTCTTGAGGGAGCAATTTGGAGAAGAGCTGGAACCCAGACTCGCGCCCTGGATGCCATCCTTTATCATCCACAGCAATCCCATCTGGCTGGGAGCATTGCTCTGGGTCTCTCACATTCCCTCCTCTACCTTAGGGATCCTGAGACGCAGGAATGGAAAGATCAAAGCATCGTAGCTTTGGAAGTGATCTTAAACCCCTTATTTATTATCTGAGTCCGTGTCTTAACAGATTCTGACAAAACCCTCCCTTCACCTTGGGGACCAGCCATAAATGAGAGAAACCTTGATATGGGAATTAAACTCTGACTCTTTGTCTAGTCCCTGCTGCTGCTTCTCTAGATTGCGATTTCAAACCCTCTTTTACCTTGCTAGTCCTATGGATATTTGGACACGCCTGTCAGCACCCCTTTGCCATCCTCTCATCACTTTCTCCAAGCAAAATTTGGTTCCTAGCATAGGATTGTGTATGTGCATGCAAGGGTTAAGGGTGAACAGTGGAATCACCTGTGGTTTTAAGTGCTTCCTTGTCCTCAGCTTCGAGAGCTGTGTCCAGGAGTGAACAACCAGCCCTACCTCTGTGAGAGTGGTCACTGCTGCGGGGAGACCAGCTGCTGCACCTACTACTACGAGCTCTGGTGTGAGTCTCCAAGGAACTCTCCTCAGGTTCCTCTACCCACCCTCCCTTGGACCTCAGAACTCTGGCCTTCAAGGACCCTTCTCTGCCTGGGAGATGTCTGAGACATTCCCTCCTTACCTCCTGCAGGGTTCTGGCTGCTCTGGACTGTCCTCATCCTCTTTAGCTGCTGTTGCGCCTTCCGCCACCGAAGAGCTAAACTCCGGTTGCAGCAACAGCAGCGGCAGCGTGAGATCAACTTGTTGGCTTACCATGGGGCCTGCCATGGAGCTGGCCCCGCCCCCACTGGTTCACTGCTTGACCTTCGTGAGTGACTTGAGGCTCTGGGCTGGTCCCTTCCATACCAGGGCCCAGAATCACTCCCCCATGCCTTTTTTCAGATCTCACCCCTATCCTGGTTACCGTCAAGCAATCAACTATGTCGTTCTCTCCTCTGCAGGCCTCCTCAGCGCCTTCAAACCCCCAGCCTATGAGGATGTGGTTCACCGCCCAGGCACTCCACCACCTCCTTACACCGTTGTCCCAGGCTCCTTGACTGCTTCCAGTGAATGTCCCTGCTGCTCCTCCGTGTCTAGCTGTCCTGCCCACTGCGAGGGAACAAATGTGGAAGGTGTTTCCTCCCACCAATGTGCCCCTGCTCACCAGGAGGGTGAACCTGAGGTAGGGGTGAGCTCTGCCTCCACCCCTCCCTCCTGCCGCTATCGCCGCCTGACTGGTGACTCAGGCATCGAGCTGTGCCCTTGTCCTGATTCCAGTGAGGGTGAGCCAGTCAAAGAGGCAAGGGCTAGTGCCACCCCCTCAGATCTGGAGAACCACTCCCCTTGTTCACTGCCCCCACATTCTGTACTCCAGGTCTCTCCGGTGGGGCTGGCTTCCAATGAAGGGGACATCCCCTAAATTTAGGGAGGATGGGTGGGTTACTTGCTTACCAGGAACTGGCCCAAGTTCGAGTTCTTGACCCTTCCCTGCCCTCCTATAATCTGCCTAAAGAGGCTGGAGTCCTGAGGAGAGGCAGTGTTTGGGGAATGTGCTAGCTCCACCCCATAAGACATACACAGGAGCCTTTGATCTTATTAAAGAGATATGAACTAGCTGCTTGTGGATTTGGGTGAACTAGAGTGCAACCTGATACACTCTATTTGATGTGACAGGATTTGGAGAGGATAGGTAATAGCCACTTATCCTGCCTTCCCTAAAGACAACCGACAGCCAAGACCTCTTGCTAAGGCAAAGCTGGCAAAAGCAATAGTATTTGGCTTGTTTTCAAATTTATTTAGAAAAATAGACTGAATTCACATGTATCCCAGAGCTGTAAGGGATGACATAAGGAGATACCTGAGATGAGCTGAGAGTTTGAAGCACTGGTATCTGAAGGCAGAACCAGAGACCTTGTTCCTCTAGGTCTAGAAGGGACCAGCCCAGAGCCTGTTACCCATCTTTCCCCTTCAGTAGTCTTCAGCCATGGCCAGTAGGACCAGGCTGGTCCAGCCCTGGAAAGGGCGGCAGCCCATTCCCCGCCCATCTCGGTCACTATATTGCTCCCATAGGAAGCCTGTGGCCTGATACTGCCGCCACACATTGCCCACTACATTGGCACGCAGTTCACTATAGAGCTTGGCAGCCCTGGTCTGGTGGGGACCCTCCAGATGCCTGTAATGGTGGAGTGCTCCCAAGGCCAAATAGTTTACATTGAGCCACACAGCACCCCTCCAATAAGGAGGATCATGCTCTGAATTGCGCTGGCCATAAAAGGAACTGGAAGCTGCCAAGGAACGCAAACCAAAAGGGCTCCAAAGATGGCGGCTGTCAGCTAGAACATCCAGCAAGGGCCCAAGGTGGGATGAGTTGGGGCTCAGCAGCCGAAGCAAAAAGGGAAAGAGACTGACATAGCCCAGGGCATCCACATATTGCATTCGAGGGTGGGGCCGACCCACCACCCGCACTAGCCCATGAGGGGGCCTAGACTTTAGTTGCACTGCTTTCGTGTGGTTCCCGAAGTCTGCAAAGACCCCTAGCTCTGGGGCCCAGTGTAGCTCATCCAGGCTTGCCTCTGCCGCCAGTGAGGTAGCCAGTGGGCTCAGTCTGGTAGCTGCTTCCACTTCCCCCAACAACTCTGCCAACTGCACCAACACACGGGCGCCCAGTGCCACCCAACACCGCAGATCCAAGTGCCGCTCAGCAGTCGAAGGATGTGAAGCTCGGGGGTAGTCATCCAGTCCAGAGGGCAGTGTCTTGGGGTTCAACAGGTTTGGCAAGGCTGGGTCCCGGCCCCGCCAACGATAAGATAGTGGGACTGGCCCTGCTTGACTCTGATGGAGCCAGGAGAACCAGGCATGCAGGCGGGGGAAGGCCCTGCGGAGGAAGGCAAAGTCTGCAGGATCATCCCCCTCTAACATGTGAATGATGGGCAAAAGAAGGGTTGGGGGGTTGGCATGTGCTGCCCGCTGCACCAGAAATTCTGGAGGCACCCGAGCACGGGCTTCATCGCCCAACACCTGCTCCCGTCCAATCCAGCCATCAGCATTGAGCAGCCCTAGCCAGTGGCCTAGGGCCTCTCGGGTAAGGTGGGGGTCCCAGCGCTGGACCACCAGCTGGTGAAAGCCCTCATCCCAAAGGAAGCCTCTTGGGAAGAATGACCGGGAGGGCACCGCTGTAAAAAGAGGGACAGGTGGAAAGAGGGCTGGGTCTGCCTTCTGCTCAGATCCCTCCACTCCCATGTCTGGCAACACCAGACCTTGTCCATAGAAATAGCCAATCCCACCAAGGAGGCCACTAAGGGCAGTCTGGCCCAAAGCTTGTTCTTCTGGGCTCAGGCCCTTTTTCTTCAGCTGGAAGGTCTTCTCAAAGCGCTCTCTAAAGGCTTCAGCATGACTCTCCAGGGCCTGTGTCAGGCGGCTGCCTGCTAGCCGCTCCGGAGCAAGGCTCCTTCCCTCACGGGCACTGCCAGACTCAAACACCAACTCCACAGAAAAGGGGGCTTTCAGTGTTACCTGCTGTATCAGAAACTGCCCTTGTCCCTTTCCTTGCTCATTTGGGCTTCTGTCCTCCCACTTCAGTGACCCTGGCAAGCCGAGATAGTGTTCAGGAGAGGTCCCTGGGGGCCGATGCTGAAACCAGCTATTTAGACGACTCTTCACCAGTTCTGTCAGCAGGGGCAGTCCTGGGTTGGAGGACCAGAAGACATTGTAGCTTGAAGAGAAGAAGAGGACAAATAAGAAACTTATTCAGGAGGAGGTAGTGGGGATCATATGGGGAAAAACACAAGGGCATCAGAGTCAGGATGGGAAAGTCTGGGGACATGGTGCCAGGAGAGAAGAGAAATAAATGGGGGAAAGGATGGGGAGTGATATAAATCAGGCTGTTAAGTGCTGTTGAGTCAGTTCCAACTCATAGTTTGTGAGTTTGAACCAGCACCTTGTGGTTCACACTGACCTTGTGGTTGAATTGCTTTTCCTACAGCGCCATACCATATTTTCATGGTTAGGATCCATGCCACCTCTACCACCACCCCACACTCTTCTCCCAGTTACCTGCCATACTTGGGGGCAGTATCCACGGGACTCGTTGGTGGCATCAGTGTAAGGCGGAAATGACCAAGTTCATTGGTATGCCCACTGATGAACTTCAACTGCCCCTTTGCCCCAACCTCTGGCACTAGGGCTTCCTTGCCATCTGTCACCACATAGAAGAACAGGGAGACCAAGGGGGTACCTGAAGCCTGGATAGCCAAAGGAGACACACAAAAAAGGTATCAGATAAGCATTCTTTTTTGGGAATCTGCCTCAGTAAGAGACGGGTAGTATGGTAAATATACATGTGGCAGTGTTGAGGTTCACAGTGAGATATGGGATAAAGAGCCTGAACAAGGTGCTCTGGGAAGTAATTCAGACCTTTTGTGGTGGGAACTAGTCTAAAAACTCTACAGAGTTTTAAAAATTAAAAGATTATTTCATTTGATTCTTGCAACTATCCTATGGGTTAGTTGTTATTTTTTATCTTTATTCTACAGACCAGAAAAACATGGCTTATAAACAGTAAATGGAGATGGTGGTACAGGAAAGTATTTAAGGCAGCCAGTCTCAGATGTCCTGCTGTTAACCTCCACTTCACACTATGTAAGGGAAGGGTAGAGGGAGTGTGGGCTGAGGAAAAGGTGTCCTGGGGCCCTGACCTGAGGCTCTACAGTCACTCTCCAGCTCCATTCCCCTCCATGCTGTCCCCCAGGCCTCTTGACGAACTCAGTGGTGAGCTTTAAGGCCCCATCTTGAATATGCTGCCGCCCGAAGGAGTGGCCGTCATGAAACTCCCAGCCATAGGGACCCACGCCGTCTCCCTGTTCACACGTGTGCCTGAGCTTGGGGGTCCCTGGGGTGGCACCCTGCTGCGCCCACATCAGTCCTAGGGGTAGAACGGCCACATAAGTCATAAAGAGAAGACCTGTTACTCTAGGTTCCCGAGAACTTCAGGGCATCCCTCTCCGTAACTCTCCTGGTTTGCTCTTCCCCACCCTTGCTCTGGTGGGAAACTATAGGCGTCTAGGTTAAGAGTCCAACCATCTGCCCGCCCCAGGGCCCGGTTACCGGTAAGGAGGGACTGCGGACTACGGGTCTTCATGCCAAAGTAGACATGGGGGCGGTAGGTACCCCAGAAGAGGTCTGGGGCCACGGCGGGGCTGGAGGAGTTGGGGGGCAACGCCGGGGGCGCCGAGTGCAGCGTGACTGCTCGCCGTGCACGGTGCCATGCCAGTAGCCAGCGCCCTGACAGGCCCAGGGCCAGCGACAAGACCACAACGGCCAGAGCCACTCCTCCGGTTGCGCTGCGGGACCCGCCGCTCCGACGCGCGGATCCGCCCCGAGACGCCCTCTCGGCTGCCCGCACTCCGTCCGCCGGCGTTCCGCGACGCCGCCGCTCGCCCCGAGCCATCCTGAAAAGAAGGTGAGCGTCGCAGGGGCACGGAGCAGTGGCAGCGGAGATCCGCTCCTGCCTCGCCTTTCCAGCTCGCGCACCAAGCCCGGGCGAGCACTGCTGTCAGCCCCACTTGCCAGTCCGAGCTTCCCGCTCCGCTCCCGCCTCCCACCGGAAGTCCCGCCTCACCACGTCAAGTTAAGTTCCGATTCCCGAACTGCGGGTGACGTGGGCCTTGAAACACAGGTTCACCTAGGGCTGCGTTAAGTGCCTATGCATCTTTCCCACGGAGTTCTTAGTCTAATCTCACGTTGAGTTCCCTTTTTCTTTTAAATTAAATAGGGACAGCAGGTGTGGCCTTGTAGGCTAAGCACTGGACCGCAAGGTTGATTTGAACTGCAAGGTCGGTTGTCCAGACTCACCAGCTGTTCCTCGAAAACCCTATACAGGGTCCCCAAGAGTCGGAACGACTCTATGGCATTTAACAACTGTATACATGTAACGTTAAGCATTGAGCTGCAAACCACAAGGTCAGCGGTTTGAGCCCACCAGTCGCTCAGCCATAGAAAGATGGAGCTTTCTGCTCCAGTGAAGATTTAAAGTCTCCTAAGCTCTGTGGTGAGGAGCGCTGGTAGCGTAATGGTTACGAATCGAGCTGCGAACCTTAAGGTCAGCGGTTCGAAACTACCAGCTGCTCCTCCACGGGAGAAAGATGAGGCTTTCTACTCCCGTAAAGATTTACACCCTCGGAAACCCTGTACAGGGTCGCTATGAGTCGGAACAGACTCGACGTCACTTAACAATAACAACAACAAGCTCTGTGGTGTGGCACTGTGGGCTAATAAGTCAGACTGCAAAGTCGTTTGAACTACAAGGTCGGTGGTTCAAGTTTACCAGCTGCTCCTCGGAAACCCTATACAGGGTCACTATGAGTCAGAATCGACTCGAGGGCACTTAAGAACAACAAAGCGCTGTGGGTTAATGCGCCAGACTGCAAAGCCGTTTGGACTACAAGGTCTGTGGTTCAAACTCACCAGTCACTCCTTGGAAACCTTATACAGGGTCGCAACAGACTAAACGGCACTTAACAACAACAAGCCCTATACAGGGTCACTATGAGTCAGAATTAAAGTTTCAAGGACTTCATTCTTCTTGGATCAACTATCAACACTCATGGAAGCAGCAGTCAAGAAATCAAGACATATTGCATTAGGCAAATCTGCTGCACAAAACCTTTTTAAAGTGTTAAAGAGCAAAGATATCAGTTTGAAGACTAAAGTGTGCCTGACCCAAGCCATGGTATTTTCAATAACCTCGTATGCATGTGAAAGCTTGACAATGAATAAGGAAAACCATAGAAGAATTGATGCTTTTGAGTTATGGTGTTGGAGAATACTGAAAGTGCCATGGGCTGCCAAAAGAACCAACAGATCTGTGTTGGAACAAGTGCAGCCAGAGTGCTCCTTGGAGGCCAGGATGGCCTAACTTTGTCTCTCATACTTCGGACATAATGTCACCAGAGACTAGTCACTGGAGATTTTAGTAAGGTGAAAAAGAGGAAGAAAAAAGAGGAAGACCCCCAGCAAGATAGACTGGCAAAGTGGCAATATAGATAGGCTCAAGTGTGGCAACAATAGTGAGGTTGTCCTAGGATCGAGTGGTGTTTCATTCTGCAGTGCTATGGGTTGGTACTGACTTAATGGCACCTGACAACAACAACATGAGTTGGAACTGACTCCAAAGTACTTAACAACTGCTTACATGCTGAGAACCTGAGACTGCTGTGTTAAGTGTTTTAGAAAGCTCAAGTAACTTGGCCTCAGCCACAGAACTAAGGTCGGTTTGAACTACAAGATTGGCAGTGCAAATTCACCAGCGGCTCCTAGGGAAACCCTAAGGTCGCTGAATCCAGACTGACTCAATCGCACTTTAACAAGTCTGATTGTGGCTGTGTCTAAAGGACCCTACGATTGAATTCAAACTCCTATTTCTGCTCAGCATAGAATTTATCTGTACAAAAAATGAGATGGGGCTAAAAGAATCCTAACAAGACCACAATGGTGGTGCACAAGCTTACAGAAAAAAACACCACAGCGTCAAAGCTTTCCCTGGTCTGAGGAGACTATGGGAACGCAGCAATAATACTTGGGGTTGATGGAAAAGTCAACATTACATTAGATGGTTGTGTTAAGTTCCTTCAAATCGGTTCCAACTCAAGTCTAGTGTTTCTGAGGAGCGAGTGGTGAGTTTGAACCGCCAACCTCATGGTTCAAACCAACCTTTCAGTCCAGTGCATTATCCTACAGAGCCATATCCATATTACATTTGATGGCAATTCATATGTAATTTAGATCCTAATTATTTTCCTTACCAACAGCAAGTTTTCAGAAAGTAAAAGTTCCTTTTACCATTAAAACAAAAAACTCTACTCTGCACTTTTATGCTGCCAAAACATCCTCTAGCTATTTATCTCCCATGCAAATTCACTGTCTCTAAAACTAATACTTTATCCTGCATGTCTACTTCCTTATTTCATTATAATTTGGCTTCTGGCCCCACTCTCCAATTCAACAATCACCTTTCAACCAAACCTAATGGTTGATAAACAACTCTTTTACCTTTCTTGCTACCATTATAAGTGCTCTACATCTACTGTAACAGTTAGTAACATACCTGAGGAGTTCCACTACTCATTTTTTAAATCACAGTAGTAATTAGTTATAGGTACAAGGTGGTGGTTGCTGTGGTTGCTAAGTGCCAGTGCTGCTGAGTCGATTTAGACTCCTACCAACCCTGTATAGGGTTTCCAACGAGTGCAAGGCATTTGCTGCTTGTTCTTTTTTTTAAAAGGCTAAGAAGGGGAGAGAGAAAAGAATCCTCTAAAAATGAGCAGATCTGTGTGCCATATGGTTTTCAGCTGGCTGATTTTTCAGTAGATGGTCAGGACTTTCTTGCAAACTGCTAACTTTTCAGTTAATATCAGTCTGATGAACTGTTTTCACCATCTAGGGATTTTCCTTTAAAGTAGAAAAGCAGTAATAAATGTAGTCATGGGATACAGACTGGGCAAAGTACACAGCAGCTAGTATGTGGAGGTCCTTGTCTGCCTGGCTGAACATTTTGAAGCTCTCCTCTAAACCAGTGGCTTTCGTCTTTTTTTTTTTGTACAGTCCTTGGAAAAAACTGCTACCCAGTTTGTACAGACACAGGAGCCCTGGTGGCACAATGGGTAAGTGCTTGGCTACTAACTGAAAGGTTACCAATTCAAACCCACCAGGAGCACCATAGGAGAAAAGACTTGGCCATCTGTACCTGTAGAGATTTTTACCCAGCAGACCCTATGGGGCAGTTCTACTGTCATAGAGGGTCACTGTGAATTGGAATGGACTCAACAGCATACAACATACAAATAAATGTACACACATACATACTGCATATTTTATACACATTATTATATGATTAAAACCAAAGTTTCCTAAAAGAACACTTCCCATACCATGGGCTATGTACTCTGATATTTTTAAATTTGATTTCACTTTTTTTTTTAAGGCTGATTTAAACCCCTAAATTGATTTCATGATCCACACTATGGTGGTAACTCGGTATGAAAGTCATTACTTTAGACACTGTTTCTTGGCACAGTATTGGGAGATAAAACCAGTGATGTGTTATGGAAAGATAAAATTAAGCAGCAGCAGAAATGGTTAGGCATGAGAGAGCAAGTGGGAAAGTGCAACTATGATATAAAAGTGAAAAAGAATGAGACATTTAGGAGCTTTGTTTAAAATTGACTGAATAGTCCTAAGAAGGGAGAGTAGAAATAATGCTGAGGCTTCAAGTCCAGGTGGCTGAGCAGATGGAAGTACAAGGGAGTTTCAAAAAGATCTTGGAAAAACCCATTATCTTTTTTTTTTTTTGCTTTAGTCAACAGAAATTTCTTTTCTCACAGTTTAGGAGGCTAGACGTGTAAATTCCGAACATCCACTCTAAAGGAAGTCTTTCTCTGTCAGCTCTGGAGATAGATAGGTCCTTGTCTCATCAGGCTCTGCTTCCTGGTTCCTTATCGCCACATGTCTTGGCATCTATCTTATCCCATCTGTTCTCTGTTTTTTGTTGTTGTTATTATTCTTGCTTTTCCTCTGGGATTTATTTTTATTTTTTTATTGTGAACTGAGTGATGGTTTACATGGGAGAACATTGGCTTTACACTGTTTCATTGCAATGATTATAGTCAGCCTCCATGCATCATCATTCAACAGTATTTGCTTCCATTCCAGTTTTTTGGGGGGGATGGGGGTGAGGGGATATACATAGAAACACTCAGGAGCATATAATTTAAACCACCAAAGGGCACCTTCTGCAAGCCTGCCTCCTGGCTGCCAGCACTCAGTCCTTCTCTTTCCATGAGTCTAGTCCTCAGCTGCTACCTCTCTCCATGTCCTCATCTCTGCCTCCATCTCTGGTGTCACTGCATAGGGTCCCACATTCTGCTTGTGCTCTTCTCCCTTGATGGTCCTAGGATCCTGTTTCTGGACTGTAAGATTAACTCCTTCCCCATTTTTGTTACAAAATTTCTACCTTTACAATTCTGACAGTCGCAATTCATCATGATAACAATTACTATTGAATCTTATCCCCCATCTCTTTTGACCAGACCCATCTATACAAGAGGAAAACTATTCAGTGGGAACTCTACCCTCTCCCCACACACTCATAAACTAAACTCCCTCCCTCTTGAAAATTTGTGCCTTTATCACCCCCTCATTTTAGGTAGCCAGTGTCTAAGTTGCCCGTCCCTATCTACCCTGTACACAAAGGGGATAGGATTGATACTTGATGGGAAGACTCCTTCCCTCTCAGTTGGTATTTTGAGCTACTATATCCATAAGCATAGGTCAAGTTCACCAAGTTTACATTCATTTCCTTTATCAAAAAAAATTTTCTTTTTCTTCCTCTAGTCAAGTTCTGATTATCAAGCCATCGAAGCTAGGTTAAATGGAAACTATCTGCAAGTTGGGTGTTATTGTACCACTATCTTTTTATTTACTTTTTCTACAAACTTTCTGAAGCCCCCTCATATGGGTATGTAAGGCTATTTTGTTTATTTCTTAAATAAAATCTGTTTTGGACAAGGAGAACTGGTGGAATTTGGGGGAGATTGGTAGTAGGTAACTGGAGTTATAAAACTGTAGCACAGAAATTGGAATTAGTGCCAAACAAAAATGCAGGGATTAACCCCAGAGAGTTCCAGTTGTGAGACAATGAGATACTCCAAGAAGAATATATATATAGAGAGAAAAAGATACAAGGCTTTACACCTACCAGAAGATACACTTACAACACATGTAACTGAGAATTAAATATGCAGAGAAGAATTAGGACCCAAGAGGAACAATTTCCACCATGGGGGAAATAAAAGAGAGAAAAAAATGAAAACTATGGAAAAAGCACTGGACTAGGTTAATCTCAAGAGTAAGAGGTACCTTGAGTTTATGGTGGGGAGAGGTAAATTCAAAAGTGTTAAGTAGGGAGTGCCAGCAAGAAAGTGAAATAAATTCAAGTTTGTCCAGATCCCTCTTCGAGTCTGTCTCGTCCCAGAAACATTCGTCGGATGTGCAGTCAGTCCACGGGCTTTCTGACAGGTGGGCAAAGGAGGTGGGGGCGCGGTTGTGCTCCTTAGTCCTCCAGATAGTGAGTTGAGTTGAGTGACAAGATCAAGTTCTTATATTAAATGCTCCAGTCAGTCCCGGCCGGTACCAGCAGCCGGCTGGTCCCCGCTTCCGGCCGCACTCCGGGCCTGGATTTGGGAGGCGAAGGCGGTGAGCATTTCCCGAGCGGTGAGGTGGAAACCGCGCATAATCAGACGGTGTCCGTCTCCTGGGGAAGAAGCAAGAGTAAGGCGCTGGAAGGAACGCAGGGCTGGAGCCTCCCCTTCCCACCCGACTCCTCACCCGAGCTCACCGAACAACACGTCCACGCAAGGTTCGGAGCCGTTGTGTCTCACGTCCGCAATCACCGAGCATTTGAGGTTGGTGGAGCGGACCTTCTCGCTGCTCACCGCCTGGAGGAAGGTCCTGCGGTGGTAAAACGCAAGAGGCATGACGGCCGGGCCGAGGACGCCCAGGGCCACAGTGCGAGGAAAGCGCACCCTTTCCCGCCCGTCTCCGCACCCCACGTACCTCGTTGACTCCACGTTCTTCTCGAAGGGGCAAAACTGAACACGAATCTCTTTGACCGAACGGAGCCCGAGCCGAGCCAAGACCGCCGCCATTATGACCTCCGCCCCGGAAGGGACTCGCGCGTGCGGCACTCTTACGCGTAGCGAGACGCTGTGAACGCCGGGATTCAGAGTTTGGAGGTCTAGGCGGGGTAGGACTCTCGGCCGCTGTCATCTGCCAGCTGTCCGGGATTCCTCAGACCAAGACGAAGGAAGGCAGGCGAAAGAGAGGTGTTTTCGGCGCATTGTATGGAGGCACCTGCTAGTCACACAGCTAGGGCCCCAAAGTAACCGATCAGTAATACTACCTGTTATTAATAGTCCTCTTGTACTAACCACAGTGAAGACAAAAAAATAGTGCAAAACCCTTTTGCATCTGGCTCCGAAACGCGTCAGTCCTCTGCAGCCTTTTCCCCTTCAGTATCTTATTGTGCCACATCTAGGTTAACACTATCTTAAATCTGGGTCTCCTCCCTGGAGAGGAAGCACTACTTCAGGGATTATATGCCTATCAAGAGGTAATCCGCACGGAGGTTACTGATAAGTATGTTGGACTCAAATCGAAACAACTGAAAATAGTACAGGACAGGGAAGGACAGCGTAACAGCCTTTGGCTCTGATCCCCGCGATTCCTGATGAATTAGCTTTGTTCTCAGCCTGGGATTTAAAGAAGTGGTTTATAAACTCTGCTTCCTGTTGCTGCTCCGTTTCTGTGTTCCCTAGAATCCAACCCTCTGCTCCTCCTCCTAGTATTCGGCCGGGAGATGTTTTCACTGGTGAGAAACCAGGTCTAAGCCCCTCAAGGATGCTGACTTCCAGGTTCCAGGCTGTGTGTGGTCTTGCTCTGGAGTTGATCTTGGATTCGTAGCTTCTAAATCCAGATTCTGTACCTTGTGCCTCGCAGATACGGTTTCCTGAGCTCCCAGTTCCAGACCTCTTTAATGTGCACTTCCAGATGTCTGAGCTTCTTCAGCTAGAGAGGGGGAGCTCTGGTTTGTTCTAGGTCCCAGGCTTCTTACTGTTCAGGACCAGTCTCCAAACAGGAAAGAAAAGGCAAGTGCCAACGGGGACTCTGGTGCTGCCTCAGGGCAAGCCAGGCCTGCTGATTTCCCACCAGGTAAGCCTCGGGGTTGGGTCCTCCTCCCCACAGTGTGCTTAGCAACTGCGCTGCCTGGGCTGAGGCTGCTCCAGGCCGACGAGGGGGCTCCAAGCTCTCCAGGCTGTTGAGGCTGTTGCTGGGCAGTTGTGTGGTCTCGATTTCATTACAAGCACCTGGTAAGGCCAAAGTGGAAAGCAGGTAGTTTGTGAGGAGATGCTGAAGCCAGACCAATGGTGAGGATGGGTTGGGGAGGATAAGTAAGGTTGAGTATGGGGCAAAAAGCCTGGGGTTGCAGAAGGGGAGTGACTCACAGCACCAGGGCGGCCTCCTGTGGACTCGTGTTTTGGGCACGGGCTGCTGCAATAAACATAGTAGGGCCCCGTCCAGCTGCTGGAAGATGCTGAGCATGAGCAGTGTCTGGCGAAGGTCAGGGGACAGGCCCCACTGCTCCTCCTCCAGCAACTGTCGGACCACTCCAAAGTCCTGTCTGAGCTGCAGCGCTCCCTGCAGGCTGAAATCCAAGGTACAATGTTGCCACCTGACCCTCCCAACCTACTCCCCTCCAACCCGTTGTCCATTTCACACCCTGCCATTGTCTCCTTTTCTCCCACCTGAACCGGATCTTGTGAGTGAGGATGTGGTCCAGCCAGGCACCTAGGATGGCTGTCAGTGCGTGACTGAGGACAGGGGCCTGGACTTTGGGTGGGAATCCTTGCAATCCTTGCAACACAGGCTCCAGTACTGTGCGAACCACCAACCCAGCATATTCACTGGGAACACTAGGCAGTTCTGGAGTGAGAGAAAAGATAGGGCTTTGGAGATACACTGACTACCTAAGTGGGATGTTTAGGGGAAGAGTGGGATTTCTGGGGTGGGAGTAGGCTCACTGAAGGTGGGGGTAAGGCCAGGATTGGAGGGGATGAGATACTGTTACCCCCTTGGGTCCCTGGAAGGGTATGCTGGCATGAATTACCAGGGCAGAGACGAAGTCTCCAGTACCGACCCCGTGGCATGTAGAGCTCAAAGCCCTGTGTGGCTTGTTTATGACATTCTTGAGAAAAGAGACTTAGAGATTCTTCTGGCAGGAGCTGCAGGACAGGGAGAAAGTAAAAGGGGTTTATTTGTCAGGGGCTTGTCAAGTTAAGATGCCTTTATAAATCTTTTTTCATAATCTCAGTTTATGTTTAACCTGGGGTCCATTGTTGTTGTTAGGTACCATCAAGTTGGTACCTATGCACAGCCGAACGAAACACTGCCTGATCTTGGGCCAACCTCACGCTTAAGTCTATCGATGGTGCCACCTGGCCAGTCCATCTCGTTGGGGGTCTTCCTCTTTTTCTCTGACCCTCCACTCTACCAAACATGATACCCTTCTCCAGTGACTGGTCCCTTCTGACAATATGTCCAAAGTATGAGAGACGAAGTTTGGCCATCCTAGCCTCCAAGGAGCACTCTGGCTGCACTTTTTCTAACATGTATCTGTTTGTTCTTTTGGCAGCCTATGACACGTTCGATATTCTCCTCCAACACCATAACTCAAATGTGCCAATTCTTCTGCGGTCTTCCTTATTTACTGTCCAGCTTTCACATGCATATGAGGTTATTGAAAATACCATGGTTTGGGTCAGGCGCACCTTAGTCCTCAAGCTGACATCTTTGCTTTTCAACACTTTAAAAGGGTCTTGTACAGCAGATTTACCTAATGCAATAGGTCCTTTGATTTCTTGACGGCTGCTTCCATGAGTGTTGATAGTTGATCCAAGAAGAATCAAGTCCTTGACAACTTCAATCTTTTCTCTGTTGATAAGAATGTTGTTTATTGGTCCAGTGGTGAGGAGTTTTGTTTTCTTTACATTGAGATGTAATCCATACTGAAGGCTGTGCTCTTTGATCTTCATCAGTAAATCTTTTAAGTCCTCTTCACTTTCAGCAAGCAAGGTTGTATCATCTGCATATCGCAGGTTATTAATGAGTCTTTCTCCAATCCTGATGCCATATTTTTCTTCATATAACCCAGCCTCTTGGATTATTTGCTCAGCATACAGGTTGAATAAGTATGGTGAAAGAACACAACCTTGTCACACACCTTTCTTAATTTTAAACCATTCAGTGTTCCCATGTTCTGTTCGAACAACTGCTTCTTGGTCCACGTACAAGATTCCTCATGAGCACAATTAAGTGTTCCAGAATACTCATACTTTGCAATGTTGTCCATAGCTTGTCATGATCCACACAATCAAAAGCTTTTGCGTAGTCAATAAAGCACAGGTAAACATCTTTCTGATATTCTCTGCTTTCAGCCAAGATCCATCGGACATCAGCAATGATATCCCTCATTCCATGGCTGTTTGTGAATCTGGCTTGAACCTCTGGAAGTTCTCTGTCAATGTATGCTTGCAGCCGTTTCTGTATTACCTTGAGTTAACCTTTACTCGCATGGGCCCAGAATTGTGTCCATCATAACTGTGCGGCCCTGGGAATTTTCTCAGGTTTTCCAATAGGTTTGGACCCAGAAAAGACCATGAGCAATTTCCCTGCTTCCCTCAGCTTGGTTCAGAAGATGGAAGATCCTTGAGATTAATTTTATTCTATAAGAACATTAATAGGATGAAAAGACACACTCTTGCACCGAATATTCAAAAGCACAGACAAGGAGAGCGATCTGCATGATCAGGAAATGGACAGAGGCTGAGGGAAGAAAGGGAATTATAACAATCTTATGGGTATCAGATGCCCACTACAGCTATAGCAAACGTCTATCATCACCTTCACTGTTTCTCTCCTGCTCTAACAATGGCTTCCCATCACTCATGATACAGCCTAAATTCATTGAGCTGGTATTAAGCACACTCCACAGTTTGAGTCAACCTCCCCCCACCCCCACCCCTGCTACCCACACACAGAGGGAGCCTTTGCTCTATCAGGTCAGCTGTCCACTATTCCTTCAAGGTTCTGTTAACCGCCCATCCTAGTACCCCGCTGTTCTTCTGAATCTGCCCAGTCACTTGCTCTGGCCCTAGACCTGTGCAAAGCTTCTGTAACCACAGGTCCACCATGGTTTTCCCTCCCTACAGCTTCTACAACCATCACTCCCTACTCATGATGAACCTGCTCTGACACCTGTTGAGTTTCAGGAGCTAGCAGTAAATAAAGGTGGAAATCCCCAGCCAACAAATGCAAAGAGAGGAGCCAAGAGGAGTTAAACTGTGGGAGTCCACAGCATCAAAGCAGTGTGGCTGTGTGAGAATGCAGAGACAAAGGAGCAGAGGCAGGGACTGAACTCTAACGTCATGGCTCCTTTTAAGGAAAAGAAGAGAAAACTGGGTAGGAACAAAAAAATAAAACCAGAGAGACATCTTCCATAGTGGTGGTGGTGGATGTGTGCCGTGGAGTCGGTTCCGACTCATAGTGACCTGTACAGGGTTTCTGAGGCTGTAAATCTTTATGGGAGCAGAACGCCTCATCTTTTTCCCGTGGAACAGCTGGTAGTTTCAAACTGCTGACCGATTCAAAGAGATTATGTGCAAAATGGAAAAAATTTTAAAGCCACAGAATAATCTTATTCATAAATATAAAAGAAACAACCAAGAGTGGCCAAAAAAATTACCACTGTGGAACAGGAATTAGGAGGTAGATTGGAAGGCCATTAAAGTACTGGTTTTTCATTAGAAAAGTCTTGTAGAATATTCTACTTTTAATTATGTATATGTATTACTTTAATAAAAATACAAATTAAACTTTTAAACAGGTTCACAAATGAAACTAATAAGGGGAAAAATTCAATAATTTATCATGCTTTTTCTAGACAAAAAGATAGTAAGTAACTAATGAGGGCAAAGTTTCTCTTTAGAGGTGTAATCCAATTAATAACAGAAACAGGAATGACAGACTTGGAATAGCATCACTTTGTAACCCTTAATGAAATGATGGGCCTAGGCAATGATCATCTACAGCTGTTTACAGAATGAGAGCCTGACCTTATTGGAGATGCAGAGAAATATAAATGAAACAAAATTGTTCATAAGTTGATTATTGTTAAAACCTCGGTGATGAGAACACGAGGGTTCATTATACTCCCCTGTTTTTTTCATATACACCTCATGTGGTGCTGCAGGACAATGCACTGGACCACAGGTCGGTCTGAACCACAAGGTTGGAGGTTCAAACCTACCAGCTGCTCCTCAGAAACCCTATAAAGGCTCACTATGTGTCAGAACTGACTCGTTGGAACTTAATAACAAAAACAATGTTTTTTATAGGTCTGAAAATTTCCATAATAAAAAGGGTAGACAGAAAGAATAAAACATGAACAGAACAAAAAAGAAATTTAGCACAGATGCTAAGGAGATTCCAAGTCACAGAAATTCAAAACTCCCTCCAAATGGGGTATAGAAGAGGGTCTTAAACTGCCACTGTTAAGGTTAACAGAGGAAAGAGGAAGGTATCAGGAGACAAAAGCAGGAAAGCAATAAAGTGAATAGAGATAAATACTGTTAACTGTTGGTACATGGAGGGGATTGCAGCTTTGTAGTGAAGCAAAGTATATGATTTGGTGAATGTAAAACTAATGATCTGCTCTGTAAATCTTCACTTAATTCACAAATAAAACGTTGAAAAAGAGAAATAAAACTGCCACTGTCAAGGCCCCTGATCTCACCTGGAGCTGTGCAATCAACTTCTGGACCTCCAAGCCTAGCCACTGTTCCACCTCCAGGGCCAACTTTTCCTCTGAGACTACATTAGACAGAGCTTGTATCTCCTGCAACAGAGGCTTTGGGCAGAAACGGAGAGTAAGGTCTGAGCCCAGCCCCGGCTGCTCCCTTCCCAATTCCCCAGTCACTCACAGGCAAATCCTTCTGGATCAGGAGCAAGAAAGAACCTGGGGTCCAGGCTGCCAGGTGCTGCTGAGCTCTCCCCAAGAACCAGAGCAAGGTGGTCTGGATTGTACAGAGCCCCAGGGCAAGGGGTGCAGGACCTGAGGAGAGTGGAAGAGTATTTGAAGGGTCATGGACCGTCTGAGAGGAAGCAGACTTCATAATGGAGCAAAGGAGAAAGACTCAGCTATTCAGTCCCCTCAACCCCAGCCGATCATCTCACCTGGAGGCTGACAGAGGATCAGCCCTGACCTGGGTTCCTGAAGGGCATCCAAGAGTGGGGGAAAGAGCTGTTGCAGAAGTTCAGTCGTTCGAGAGCAGAAGCTACCATTCCAGGATGAGGGAAGGCTATTGTGATCCCCATGAGCAGATCCCAAGGCCTGGCAGAAGCCTGAGGATGAAGGGGCATGGTCTGATAGGAAATGGATAACCTGGGACTCATGTCACCCAGTGTCCCTTCCTTCTCACCTTGGTCCCAGCTCCAGAGAAGTGATTCATGAAGTAGTTTGTGGCACAAAGAAGCCAGCTCCTTCTCACACTCCTGAGGTAGTGATGCTAGTAGGAGAAATTACGCTGAAGCCTGAAAATAAGGCCTCTTTTTTCCACAGCCACTGCCCACTCATTAATGGGGATCAGGGAAAATAGGCTACCATCAAAACTCCTGACTGGGATGGAAAGCAAGACTGTGCCTTGAAAACCCAAAAGCTATATAATGTCAAGGACATTCAACCTAAAGGGCTTGCTTTTGTAATCAGGATGGCAGATAAGTCAGTTGATGAGGGGTAAGGAAGAGACCCCAGCCTTCCCAAGTGCCCACCAGGTCGATCACTCACCCTGACCTAGCGCCTGGCTCAGCTGTTGTGCCGCTGCCCTGGGGTCCTTCCAAGGTCCCAGCTTCAGGTCCAGACTCTGAGCACAGGCTGCCCACAGTAGGGTCCAATACTGGCTCCACAGGGCCCCAGCCCCTCCAAGCTCCAGTCCACTGCTGGATGAAGCCTCCACATCCCCCGCCAGCCCCAGCAGCCCTGGCAGCAGCTCCCTCTCCTCTTGGCACTGCTTGCGAAGCTGGTCCCGCAAGCCTGATCCCCTGAGCGCCACATCCAACCGCCCTGCCACCAGGCAACCCCGTTCCCCCGCCAGGAGGCGGAGCACTCGGGCTTTGGTAAAGGGGCGCGCTGCCCCCGGGATGTGGCTCAGTGTTTTTCCCTGTAGCTGGTGGTAAGTGGGGAGCAGCAGCAGCAGCTCGGAAACTAGGGACGTCAGACTAGGGCTGGAGGGAGCCCGGCCCAGAATGAGAAGCTGCATCTCTATGGCAGCATCCAGGCGCTGAGTGGCTAGTCCAATAAGGCGCGTCACAAGCAGCGGCTCAAGGGCCTCAAGAAGCCGGGTTCGCAGGACTGCCCCTCGGGAAGGGTGCGGCAGCAGATCTTGGCACAGTTGAAGCAAGGGGCTGGGGCCGGGCAGTGATGTGCCTGGACTCAGAGTTCTCAGGAGGCGCACGGCCGCCTGCAGGTGACGGGCACAGTCGCGGGCCCGAAGAAGCTGCTCCCGCTCGCAGTGCAGCCTCAGCAACACAGCCCGCAGACGCTGCAGCGTTGGAGGGATCGGGCCGCGGGCTGCCGGCTCCCGCCTCCAGTCTGCAGCCCCAGCCTCGTGGTCCTCGCTCGCGTCCACCGGCGCCAAACCAGTCCACAACGGCTGCCTTCCTGGAGCTCCGCTGGGCCGCGGGTCCAGGCAGGGGATGCTCCTGGAAACTGGCAGCCCCCGCCAGGCGCGAACCTCCTCTAGGACAGCGCCCGCTCGCCTTCCCTCCCACGGCTCCTCCTCACCGCCTCGGGGTTGCACCAACAGCGGCGGCACAATGGCGAGCGGAGGTAGAAGACCACTAGAGCGCGACTCCTGGGCCATCGGATTGCGGGTCCGGAACGAACCTAACGATTCCCACTTCTCCGCCCGGCCCAACGCCCGCCGTAACCCGGACTCCGCCCCATCCCAAGAGCCATCATCTCTTGCCGGGGAACCTCCGGAACTTCATGAACTCTCCCGCTCTCCGTAATCAGAGGCTTCAGCCCTGAACAAAGATGGCTACCTAGCCCACACTTCAACCAATATCAAATACCAGAATAGCTTTCACTTTCATGTCACTGTCAATAGGAGACGGAGTTGCGGGGGTGGGGAGGAGGCAGATCAAGCTAGGTGAGCAGGCATCACAAGATGAGAGGGGATCCAGGAGAGCAAAGGTGGGTCTATTGGATTCTACCTGTGGTTTCAAGAGATTATAAGCTTCGTGCAGAGGGTCACCCTCATTCTTTTCTTTAGACGCCCTCTGCTTCCCGGCTGCCTGCTGAGGGGTGGGGGGGGTCACTGCTGCCCCCAAACTCTGCTAGGAATTCGGTCCTGGGAACGTCGCGAAGAGGTGAGAGGGACGCCCAGTTTCACTGGGCCTTATTTATATCCGCCACGCCTCCTTTTATCTAGTTTCCAGAGGTCCGCAGTGCTCTGGAGGTTCCAGATCAGGCCCTTTGCTGGAGGCGCTCTGCAACGGGATGAGGGGCGGGGAAAGGCTGCGACATAGGAAGATAATTGTTTGAAGTGGGCTGGATAGGAGTTGAAGATAGGAGTTTCTTAGGGGAAATCAATGGACATAGGAATCAGTGAGTAAACCCTGAAACTAGGAAAAGTCACTAACTAACGTGCGATCAAAGTTTTGGTTGGAGCTGTAAAGAAGGTGTCAAGTGGCTTGGATGCCCTTGTCTAGTAATGGATGTCAAGTAGACAGGATCAGATTTAAGGGGACTGAGAAGATATGCTTCCAACTACTTCCTGAGCATCTCTTTTAAAACTTTAACCTCAACAAATCTGGAAGTTAATTCATTTTTTCAGATTCTTTGCTTTTCCTCTAATCTCTATTTTGGTCAGTAACACAAATTTCCATTCATTTGCTTAATCCAGAAATCTGAGACTCACCCTAAAAGTCTTGCTTTCCTTTACCACATGCATTTATTTAGTTGTTGTTATGTGCCATAGAGTTGGGTCCAACCCAAAGCCACCCTGTATAGGGTTTCAGAGGAGCAGCTAGTGAGCTTGAACTGCCAACCTTGCAGTTCAAACGGCTTTGCAGTCTGGCGCATTAACACAGCGCCACACCAGTAAGTGAGTTTTAGTAAGTCACTGAAATCTACTTCTGAAATATCTCAAATTCATTCCTGTTTCCTCTGCCACTGTTTTAGTTCGTTGACTCATTCTCTTTGACCGGAGCTGTTGTAATGGCCTAATAACTAACCATTCTACCCTAAGTCTCATTTCCTTCCCCAGTTCCATTTCACTTGAGGTTTTCACTCCCCAAATCAGGTCAACTCCCACCGTTGACAGGATACAGTCCAAACTCACTGGATCTCAGATTTTTGAGAACACCATCCTTGGCTACATCTCTATTAGAATAACCTCACTAATCTTTGCCTGTGTTCATTCCTTCAGCATAAATATCTGAGCATCTATGTATCAAACACTCTTCTAAGTATTGGAAAGAAAGCAGCAAGTCAAACAGACAAAAATTCTTGCGTTCAGTGAATTCAAAGTATTAGTAAAGCAGCTAGCCAACAAACAACAAAGTATGTCAAATAAGGGGGTAGGAAAAGGCAAAGTAGGAGGATAAGGAGTGCTGGGTAGAGTTGAGAGGTTGCTCTTTTTTAAAGGAATGGTCAGAGAAGTGTTTCCTGAGAAGTAAAGATCTAAAGGAGATGAAGAAGTGAGCCATTTACTGGGGAAAGAGCATTCCGAGCAGAGAAAATAACAACAGCAAACTGCAAAAGCTCTGAGATGGGTATGCACTTGGTGTGTTTTAGTAATTGCAAAGGAGACTCCTATGGCTAGGTTAGGGTGATGAGAGGTTAGGGGATGATTTGGGAAGGTATTAGAGGCCTTTGTATGTATGCCATAGAATGACTTAAGAGAGTAGCATAAACTACTACATTTGGGGGGGAAATCTGAAACAAATTCACCAGGAAATTGAATGTGAGAACAAAATTTGACACAAGTGCCTCAAAGAGTAAATGAAGATGCTGTTATTACAGGACTGTCTCCTGAGGGTGCCCCTGAATCCAAAACTAATTAGAAATTTGAGTGTATCTTTGTGATCTGAAGTGTTGCCTGTCGATTATTGTTGTTGTTGTTGTTGTTGTGTGCCGGATTCGGTTCCGACTCATAGCGACCCTGTACAGGGTTTCCAAGGCTGCAAATCTTTACAGGAACAGAACGCCTCATCTTTCTCCCACGGAACAGCGGGTAGTTTCGAACTGCTGACCTTGCGGCTCACAGCCCGATTGGTAACCACTACACTACCAGAGCCTGGAATTTCATGTGTCTTCTATGTTTCTCAGTCAGCCAACCACTTAGGGAGTGGCTGCTGTTTCTACACCTAATTATACTAAATAGGACATGATGATTCCTTCCCTCCAGTGCTAACTGATAGAGTCTTAGTGTGGCACTCTAGGGTAAGCACTCGATCACAAGGTCCATTTGAACTGCAAGGTCAGTGGTTCAAACTCACCAGCTACTCCTCAGAAACGCTGTGGAGGGTGGCTATGAGTTGGAACCAACTTGATGGCACTTAACAACAACACTAACTAAGGAAATGACTCTCATCTGAATCATGGGATGTATGGGCCAGGTCCTGAAGAACTCTTCTTCCTTTTATGGATAAGGAAGTTGAGGTCCAGAGTTAGATGACTTGTCCCAAAATAATGCAGACAGGCAGTAGCAGAGTCAAAACTAGGATATAAGTGGCTCAACCCCAGGATAGAGCACATTTCAGCTCTGTGTTACCTCACCAATTAGGGAAGTAATTAAAAACGATGAATAATAACCTTCTAAATTGTACAATCCAGACTATGTAAGTGCAGATTGGTTCAGAGAGGTCAGAAGTAATGGGAGATCAAAAGGTCTTGTGAGGCTTTGGTGTGGCGCTGTAGGATTAGCACTGTACTTACTTACTGAAAGGTCAGTAGTTCAAACCCACCAGCTGCTCCTTGGAAACCCTATCCAGGGTTGTTATGAATTGGAACCTACTCAACAGCCCCTAACAACAACAACAGGGAGGCTTCGAGGGGAGAAGGAATTTGAACCAGTTTTTGAATAATTTGGTACAATCACAGTCAGGAGAGATTTGGGACTAGCGGGGTAAGGTCCTGAGGCTGAAAGGAGCCTGGCCTTAGAGGGAGGAAGGCAGCTAAGCAGAAATGGATTCTAAAAAGGCCAGAAGAGCCAACCCAGTAGCTTTTTGAAAGGCTTCAAATTTAAGGATGAGGAGCTACATTAAATCCTTCCTGTTGTCCTGGCAGTTGGGGACTATTGGCAATTTTTGAGCAGGGGAGTGATTGCTGTGAGCTCAGTTTTGTGAGCTGCATGGAGAGAGAAGCACAGGGAGAGACCAGCCAGGAGCTGCTGTACTCCTTTAGGCATGAGGCAGCCCCAGGGTGGGTTATATGGGGCTTTAAGGATATGGTGGATGAAGCTGGAAGAGTAGGTAGAAGGACTCCATCCCAGGGTCCTCTGTGTTAGTGACCTAGCTGCAGGTCAAGGGGGAGATCCCGGGTGGTGGAGAAGGCTGGGCTACATGCCACACTCAATCCTTAGGAAGACAGGAAAACCATGAGAGCCGGGTATAGAAGATTTTGAGGAGTTGAAGTAGGAGAGGTTCAGGCAAGGTGAGGTTCTCTGGGCTCGGTGGCTGGTTAGTGGCTACCATGGTGGAGAGGTCAATTCAGCCAAGCCCCTTGCTCTCTCCCAGAGCTCCCCCAAACACCATCCGCTCCTCCCCACTACCCAGGACATAATGGGTTTTCTTCAAAAGATTATCCAGAGTGATCCCCATGGCCTGCCACGGCTCCATGTGGATGGGAGTGTTGTTGTTGTTGTTAAGTGCCTTTGAGTCGGTTCCGACCCATAGCGACCCTGTACAGGGTTTCCGAGGGTGTAAATCCTTACGGGAGTAGAAAGCCTCATCTTTCTCCCGCAGAGCGGCTGGTAGTTTCGAACCGCTGACCTTAAGGTTCGCAGCCTGATTCGTAACCACTACGCTATGGTTTATCTGTGACACCAGGGTGGGTTATGGAGGGACTGGAACCCTGGGGAGCACTGGCCTCAGGGGCTCCCCTCTCTGATGGCCCTCTTTCTTTCTTCCTCCTGACAGATTACCTCCTGAACCATTTCTGTGATGAGAGGGAAATGACTGGACAGAGTGACTGGGCCAAGGGGCTAAGGGACTGCGTACCTTCTGTGATCTCTGAAAGTCTTGTCCTCTCCCCAAGAGTCAGGGCCCTGTCCTCAAACCCTGCTTCAGGTGACCAAGCTCCAGAGGCTGGTAGCAACTGAAGAGGTGAGGCTTGGGTTTCACCTGCATCCAGATTCCCATCCTTATATTATCCCTAATCTTTCAGGCCCTTTCCATACTGCTTGCCTCCCTTTTGCTTTCTCTTTCATTTTCCTGGACTCTCTCTTTTCCTGTCATCTGCCCTTCCTCCTTCAGGAAGCTAACTGCCTGGCTGAGGAGCTGATGGCTGAGGAGAAGCATGGGAAGTGGAAAGCAGAGAAGAAGCCAAGGGAGAAGGTGGATGGGAGATGGGAGAAATGGGCGAGCAGAGGGCTTTGCAGATGGAAGGAGGCTACTTTGTGAGCACAGAAGAGAGAGCTCAAAGGGTCCTCTTGCCAGGGGGCCTATGGACTCAGGAACTAGAGGGTCTTTCCAGAGGTCATGTGAAGTGGTTCGTGCATGGACTTCGGAGTCCACTCTACTACCTCGCCTTGAACCTGTCTCCCTCCTTACAGTGAGACCTCTGGCTGGTGACTCTCCTGTGTGTTTTTTCTACCTGTAAAACTAGAGTTTTCATAGTAATGCCTACCTCAGAGTGGGAGCACAGAGGCAAACCACAAGGTCAGAGGTGCAAGCCCACTAGCCACTCCACAGGAGGAAGATGAAGCTTTCTGCTCCCACAAAGATTGACAAGCCTTAGAATCCTTATACAGGGTGGCTATGAGTTGGAACTAACTCAGCATCACTTTAACGACAACAACAACCACCTCATAGAACTGCAGGGATTAAGTGCCATTGAGTCAGTTCTGATTCAAAGCCACCCTGTATAGGGTTTCCTAGGAGTGCTGTATGTTTGAACTGCTGACCTTGCAGTTCACACTGACCTTTTGGTCCAGCGGTTATCCTGTAGGACTCCCAGTGAGATATAGTACATGTAAAACACCTATCCCAGTCCATTACTTATAGTTAGTGCTGAAACTATGTTGTCGTCATTGTCACTGTCATCACAGCCTCTAAAGAAATGACTGCAGCAGAAGTGCTTGGAGCAGGACAGAGAAGTAGCAAGTGTGTTTACAGGCAGGTGATCAGTGCACTGAGGACCAGGAAAGTGTGCCTGAACAGGCAGCAGCTTAAGATGAGCCCAACTCATCTTTTCACCTTCCTTTTAGGCCAAGCTACCCCCAGTAGGGATGAGAGTCCTCCATCTAGCCCCCAGAAGCCCAGCTCAGGGGTAATTTAGTGAGGAAGAGGTGAGAGCCCCCTTGCTTCCCTTTCTGTCCTCTGTTCGCCCTCTTGTACTCTAGGACACACTTCATCCTATCCCCTTCCCAACTTTTTTTTCTGCCCACAGGACTCACTGCATCTTCCTGGCAGTTTTGTGTCTCTGGCTTTGTGCAAGGTTGGAGATTGCCACCGCCCCCCCCCCCACCCGCCCCAGTATTCGAAGAGACAAAAAACTGAGCCAGGGCTCCAAAGGCAGGATCCAAGAGCCTTAAGAGAAGATGGGCCAAGAGGAGAGCGCTCCGAGATAAAAGAGTCCCAAGCAGAGTTCTGCAGCTGAAGTGAGGTGGGTGGGAGTTCCTCAGGTGGAACCAGTGACAGCTCTGGGAAGTCACATGACTTAAGGGCCAAGGAACAGTCAGTAAGAGTTCTCTGGTCTAGGATCAAGTGAGCTACAGACAGAGCCCATCACTGTCACCCTGACCCTGAAGAAGATAGAGCTGATACCATCTTGTAGGAGTGTTGTGTAAATTACAAAGCTTAGTGATGCTCACTGCATTGTTAACCAGTTAAATTGAGGAGAAAGATTTGTGAAGCAGAAGCCTTGAACCTGCTTGATTTTGTCCCCCATCCCTAGGCATCTCCAGGACTGCTGGCAGCTGCCTTACAGCAGAGCCAAGAGCTGGCAAGTGAGACTCTTTCTCCCTCACCCTATCCTCAGGTAGCCTCTTCTGAACCTTACCACCTTTCCTCCTCAGAGTTGAGTGCCAACTTTACCCAAAATGGTTTCTACTATGAAGCATGGGCCACTTTACCTAGGCCTTGCAGCTCAACCCCCAGGATCACTAGTAGGTGGGGACCTGGCTATTGTGCTAGAAGATAATGGCAAGGCATGTTCAGGATCATGACCCTTGGCTACTTTCTGTCAGGTTATTTGGAAACTGTTCCTTCTGCCATGAGGAGCTGGGTCAGCTGGTGTAGGCCCTGACGGATACCCAGGTGGCCCTTACCCTCAGTCCCAACTGGACCCAGGGCCTCCTCCTGTGTCTGGGCAAGGCCCTGATGGGACTGCAGGTTAATTGATCTGGGGTTGGAAGTACAGGGACTTGGATGGAATGGGGTGGGGATTGGGTCTTTATGGACATTTTCTGGTTAAGCTCCTAGTGTCACAATAGAAGCTGGGACCAGTTATATATACTTTCCCCGCGAGAGAGACCACAACACTTTTGAGAAAGCCGCTGCTATATTCCAGGAGACTCTTGAGTGTTGGGTCCCAGCCAGATGCAACTTGGGAGCTCCACTCTTGCCTTCACCAACTCACCCTGGTAAGAAAGCCAGGTGGATTCTCATGCTGAGGCAGCAGCAGGCTGGGATGACACTGATAAGCAGTGCCACCTTCTGCTACATGTGAGTGAAGGAGGGCAAGAGGGGGTGAGGGGAGGGGCATAGACTGTGCTGCTTGAAAAGATTATCATGTACCCTTCCCTCTCTCTGCAGGATCAGCGAAGAGGAATCTGTGCACTACCTCTGTCAACTGGATTCCGTCTGCCATTTCTCCATGCTGAACCAAGAACCTCAGGCCTACTGTCCCTCAGTCCCCCTAGAATCACTGCTCCCAGGGCCGGTGGCCTTCTGCCTCCATCACATTATCCCCCATGTCACCTGAGCCACCTCATTTAGTCCCTCTCCCAGGCTCAGAATAGAGGACCCCATCCTTTCCATGTCCATGACCAAAGGGTTGTGGCATCCTAGGGCTTGGCTGCCAGCATCTACCTCTGGCCAGGTGAGGGAGGACCTGTTCATTCTTTAGGGTAAGGCCATGCATGTGTTCCTCTTACAGTGATGGGGACACAGTGTGGTGATAACTTACTGGGTGTATTGAGACCTTGTACTCTAAAACTATACTTAAGGTCACCCTTTCCAGTCATTCCTCTTGCAATATAGAATCTCCTGATGAGAGAAAGGAGCTTGGCATCCACTCTGGTTCTCAAGCATCCTTTCTTTGTACTCAAAAATATTGCTTCTTCCAGGGGGAAGAGGTGAAAATAAAACTGAATACAGAAGAAGGGGACTGTACAAGTTATTTTTTAGACTGTCTCAGACCCAGCAAGGAGGCATTTGGGGCTTGCTCGACTTCTTGGTCTGGAGGGATTCATTCACCAGCCAGAGCTTTGTGGTCAGAAATGAAGTCACAGTGGTGAATAAGGCCCAGCTCGCACCCTTCTGCTTAATGGATGTTCAGCCTCTTCCTAACTTCAGTTCTTGCTCGGTTTGCCCAGCCCCAGTCCCTCATGCCCTGTTTCCTCTTCTCATTGCTGGGAAAACTCTGACCTCTCCTTTTCTAGTGGTCAGGTGCTCACCTCCTCCCACTGCTAAAGGATTCCCCAAGGGGACAGGCAGAGCCCATACATCATATTCTGGCTGCTGGCTCTCCTTCAAAAAGGGGTCTCAGCAGGCACTCAGGCTATTTATGACTGCATCTGCCACTCTTTCCCTCTACTGGGAGAAATGCATTGGACATTGTAACTGTTGTATAATTGCTCACTCTTCCAATATGAATTTACTTCTAGGTTTTCCATCAAAGACATATATTGTTGTTAAGTGTCATCAAGTCAGTTCTGTATTGGGTTTTTGAGGAGCAGCTGTTGAGTTTGAACCGCTGACCTTGCAGACAACAGTCCAGTGCTTATCTTATAGTGCCACATCAGGACTCTACACCAGGATTGGAAGGCTATAATTTTCCATGTCCTGTGTAAGAATCCTGTGCCCCTTTGGGAGAACCTGGCAGCTGCTTATGGCTGGTTTATGACTAGCCCTGCCTAGGACTCTCCACTAGGTTTAAGTGTGGCTTTATAGGAACTTTTAAGCCCTTCAAGAGTGTCTACCTCAAAGCTATTGGGAGGACTGAAAAAGAATGTGATGAAGAACTTACAAGTGCTGTTGTTTGGTGCTGTCGAATTGGTTCTGACTCACAGCAAACCTATCCACAAAAGAGCAAAACACTACTTGGTCTTGCACTAAGAATTGTTATGTTTGAGCCCATTGTTGCTGCCACTGTGTCAGTCCTTCTCATTGAGGGGTTTCCTCTTTTTGACTGACATTCCATTTTACCAAGTATGATATTCTTTTACAGGACTGGTCCTTCCTAACATGTTCAAAGTGCAAGAGTTGAAGACTCAGAGTCCTAGCTTCGAAGGAGTATTTTGGCTGTACCTCTTTCCTCCTTGTTTGTTCTTCTGGCAGGCCCTGGTTCTTTCAATATTCTTAAACACCATGAATCAAATGCACCGATTCTTCTGCAATCTTACTTATTCATTGTCTAGCTTTCACAAGCATGTGAAGCGATTGAAAATACCATGGCCTGAGTTAGGCGCACCTTAGTCCCCAGTCTGTCATCTCTGCTCTTTACCATTTTAAAGGTGTCTTTTGCAGATTTGCCTAAAGCAAGGTATCTTTTGATTTCTTTATTGTTGCTTCCGTGAGCGTTGATTATGGACCCAAGCAATATATTCTCCATTAATGATGATATTATTTATTGGTCTAGTTGTGAGGATTTTTGTGTTCTTCACATTGAGGTGTGATCTATACTGCAGGCTGTGGTCTTTGAGCTTCATCAGCAAGTGCTTCAGGCCCGGTGCTTCCAGTAAGCAAGGTTAAGTCATCTGCATATTGCAGGTTGTTAATGAGTCTTCCTTCAATCCTGTTGCTATGTTCTTCATATGATCCAGCTTCTTGAATTATTTGCTCAGCATACAGATTGAATAAGTATGGAGAAAGGATACAACCCTACTGCATACTTTTTCTGATTTTAAACCATTTCTTATCCCCCTTGTCCTGTTGGAACAACTGCCTCTTGGTCTATGTATTTCTCATGAGCAGTTAAGTGTTCTGAAATTCCCATTCTTCATAATGTTATCCATTGTTGTGATCAACACAGTCAAACACCTTTGTAGTCTTTGCATAATACAGTACAAGTGAACTGATGAATCTGGACTGAAGGCAGATAATATCCGGAACACAGTAGGTGCTAAACAAACTGATTGTTATCTGCACCTCTTACCATAGTGGGGAGACAAGGATATGAGTGGATTAACAATTGAATTCACAAAATACAAAGGTCTTGAAACTGGGGTTCTCCAAGTGGGGCACCTGGATGAAGAGTATCAACATAATTCTTAGGCTACACTCTAGACCTTTTAAATTGGAAAGTAGGGCCCAGAAACCATTAACAAGCCCTCCAGGTGATTCCCAGACCTCATCTGTGAATTTGTCATACTCTGGTGGCTTGCATGTCGCTGCGGTGCTGAAAGCTATGCTTTGTTGTTGTTAAGTGTCTTCAAGTCAGTTTTGACTCATAGTGTTCCTGTATAGGGTTTCCAAGGAGCATCTGGTGAATTTGAACTGCTGACATGGCAGTTCAAACTGACCTTGTGGTCCAGTGCATTATTCCACAGCCCCACACCAGGACTCCAGAAGCTATGCTACCGGTATTTTAAATACCAGCAGGGTCACCCATGGTGGGCAGGTTTCAGCAGGGCTTCCAGACTAAAACTCAGAAGGAGAGACGGTCTACTTCTTTCAGTGAATAATTAGTCACTGAAAACCTTGTGAATAGCAGCAGAAAATGATCAGATATCGTGCCAGAGAATGAGCCCCTCAGGTTGAAAAGCACTCAGACTGTGACTGGAGAAAAGCTGCCTCCTCAAAGTAGAATTTGCCCATAATGATATAAATGGAGCAAATCTTCCAGGACCTTCTTTTGCTGAAGGGACACAACTCAAAACGAGGAGAAACAACTGCAAACATTCATTAAAATAATGTAGAATATATAAAACATGAATCTAGAAAAATTGGAAGTTATCAAAAGTGAAATGGAATGCATAAAGATTAACATCCTAGGCATTGTAGTTTACTGCTGTCAAGTTAGTCCTGACCCAGCGTCCTTGCATAGGGTTTCCAAGGAGCAACTGGTGGGTTCTAACCGCCTACCTTGTGGTTCAAACTGATCTTTGGGCCCAGTGATGCCTGAAATGGAGCCAGAGATGATGATGTGGAGTGATGGAGCAGCTGGAGA